ACAAAAGACAAACCAACCAACAAACAAACATAAACAAACAGACAAACAAAAAAAAGATAGTAGTAATAAAAGATAACCACAAAAATGGTGGTCATAAAATAATAGAAAAAACAAAAAAGCAAAATAAACAAAGAAGAAAGAAAATTTTAAAAAAAGGGGGAAAAGGGAGGGCACCACTGAGAAAAATACTGTTCTTTTAAATATATACAAACAAACCCCTTTTATAAATGCGGTGGGGTTCCAGTTTAATGGGAATAGTTATGCTCCAATATACTTTCTAGACAGCAGGTGGTGCTGTGAGTGGTTCCCAGGTTAAAACCAAAAAAAAAAAAAGTGGGGGGGGAGGTCTTTGCTGGCAGGTTGCACAGATTCTCTCTACAACAGTTCCCATAAAGTGTAGGGCGTCCTGGAGCAGCTTCAGATGCCGGGTGGCTGGCCGCCCACTCCTATCTGTCCTCCAAACTCTGCACACAAGTCCACGCTTCGCCAGATTTTCCACTCAACTCCTAGTTTCCCCTTGAACAGGAAATTGTTATGGTTCGCCTGCTGTCAGTCCGTTTTTTGCGGGGGGTGGGGGGGAGCAGGTTACCTCTGGTTCCCACAGCAGTGCACACACAAGACTTTTCAGTGTTTGTAGGAAGGGAACCGATTCCCTCTGTGGGTCACCATGTCAGTGCAGCTCCACACAGACTTCCAAAATTACAGTATGGATCGGTTCCTGAGCAGAGTCCTTTCCCCTCAAATTTCTGTCCGATTGCCTGGATCTCTGACACCCCAAACCAGGTCCAAATGGTTCCCCTTTCTGGCTACCAACTTCTGCTCGGTAGTCCACACTTCACCACTCTCTGCGAAACACCCAAACTCCCACGTATTGGGCAAAGAAGTGCTTCGTGGGGAGGGATTGGTTTCTGCCTCTTAGGGCGCCAGCCATGGACCTGGTGCTGCTAGCTGCAACTGCCGCAGGTTGCAACTGCTTCAGGTCGCAGCTGGCGCTGTTTCAGCTGCTGCCCTGAGTTTTTTCTGGCAGACACCGTAGTTCTGGGCTACACTTCCAATCCAGCAATTCACCTCCTTGCTGCATGCCCTGCGCTGCTTGTCTGTGCCAGCACTCCATGCAAAAAAGATCCAGCCCTCCCCACTCTCACCTGAAACCGAGAGGAGAGTTGACCCAGGGATGCATCTCCTCCACCATCTTGCTCCGCCTCCCCCTATTTTGGTCATCTTTGAAGTACTCCTCTTGGAAAGCCATGCACTGACTCCAGTGCCTACTCTACCCTTCAAAGCACTTTTTGGATGACAAGTTTGTGAATTTAACTGTTAGACCTCATATGATAACAGTGCTGATGGTCATTGCAGAAAAAGAGTTTCAAAGGCACTGGTGTCAATGTATAGCTTCCCAAGGAGAGTACCTTGAAGGTGACCATAGTGATATTCATCAATGAGGTGTGTAGCACTCTTTGTAAGAGGAGTTTGCAAATTTAGTTGTCTGACTTTGTATGTGTCTATAGTGGATACTATGACAAATCCCCTTTTAGAAACCAGGCACTTGGTACCTCTAGCTCATAGCTGACCTTCCCCAGCAATTGCAGTGTGCAGCAGAGAAAGGTCTTGGCTCAGTTCAGGACAACTCTGAAGGCTCATTCCAGCTCCATAGCTTCCCAGGGGATGGCTGAAACCTTTATTGGGACAACAGTGGTACCCAACTTCTTCCTCTGCCTGATCCTGATTCCTTCCCTTCACCTATAGATAGTAATGCCTGGAGTATTTCTTCATAAACCTCCTGCACCCAAATCTCTATCTCCCAGTCAGCTTCTCTGGAAATTGACCTAACACAGTCCCTAAATAAAGTAACTCAATAAAACTCAGTTATAACTTGTCTGCTTCCCTCTAATCAAATAGATTCTATTTATTATACTGCTATTAACTAATTTCCTATATATTTTAAAGAATTGAATTGTGACATGGAAGTCCTTAGTTATACTATTAGAAAACTTTCAAAAATCCAAATGAGCTAAAGGACAATGAAATTATTTCTCCATTAAAAAATATAAAATTGTACTTCTCTTATTCAAGACCAAAAAGACAAGTACATCAGAGCTGAAAACAGATGTTTCCTTCTCTTCCCAACCCCCCAAATACAGTGTTCCTCAAATTTGGCAATTTTTATAGGGTTATTATTAGAGATTGTTCTGAGAAGTAAAGATACAAAGTGTGCTAATAAAGAGAAATGTATTTCAGAGGAAGCTGTGGATTATCTAAGAAATTTGAACAATTGAATTTTATGGGATAAAGTCATAATTTTGGATGATTTATTTAAAACCTTAACTTATGACTATTAATGATTTTAATTAAATTTTGGGGTTTTACAAGAATCAGTCAGTTTAGACTTGTGCCATACTTTTCTAAAGTCCTCAATGTCTATTAAAAGATTAAATGATTTATCTGAAAACCTCTTTATTCAACTCATCTTGCATGCTTTTTTTTTTTTTTTTAGACAGAGCCTCAAGCTATCCCCCTGAGTAGAGTGC